GTAGTAATAATAGGAACAGTAATAAAAATAGTACCAGTTGTAGCCACAACAGTAATGGTAACGTCTTTTGGATACATGCTGTGTGCCTGCCCTCTACGAAATACTTTTCATACATTATTTTTTTATTATATTCTATATATTTTCGATGTTTTAAATGAAAAAATTTAAAACACACTGAAAAGTAAAAAGACAAACGTAATGAATGGCTGTGAATCCATCACCCAGATTTAACAATTATTCATACTTGTCATATTTTCTTAATGTAGTTTTTTGGTGAATTTAAACCTGGAGTCAGCTATTTTTCCACATATTTCTCCAAGTTTTCCTTTAGTGATTAACCATATTTAGAGATGAAATTCTGAGTTCTAGTATTGGTCATTGTCACAGAGATGTCACTGTTTCTAGGCTCTTTCAGGGGACGGATTTTAAAAGCCTCAGTTCATATTGATATTTCCAGTTCTAATTAACTTTACAGTTCACTTAAGTTCTTTCATTTTATATTTATTTCCTCTTGCACTGAAAAATCTTGGTTCCTGACAATATTAGCGTACATTATTTTATTTAATCCTTTTACAGATGGAAAAGTCCATGCTTAGAGAAGTTAAAGTCAAACAGCTGACATGGGCAGGGCTGGGCTTGACCCCCAGCCCCAGCTCTCCCAGGCCCATGCTCTTTGCCTCCGTGTTACACCAAGCGTAACGTTCTCAACTGCCTTTTCCGGCCCACATGAAATTCTAAGACTGGATCTCTTTTTTTTTAATTGACATATAGTTGACATATAACGTGGTATAAGTTTAAGGTGTCCACCATGTTGTTTGATACATTTGTATATTGCAGTATGGTTACCACCATAGCATTATCCACGTAGCTCTACCATGTCACATAATTATCATTTATTTTTGTGGTGGAAATAATTAAGATCTACTCCCTTAGCAACTTTGAAGTTTATGATACATTACCATTGACTATAATCACTCTGCTGTGCATTAGCTCTCCAGGACTTATTTATCTACTAGTTCCAAGTTTGTACCCTTAATGGATCTCTTTCTTTAAGCTTATGACCTAAAACATAAGCAATTGACTACTGGGTATCTCCACTTCTGTGCCGAGTTACACCTCAAACACACATTATCTCAAATGAAATTTGCAAAATCTCCTTACCCCCTTCTGTACCCTAACTACTTCTCCTTGCCCTACCTTTGTCTTGTAAACACTGCCTACTCTAACTTGTAACCTGTAACCTGTCATCCTTGAGTATTCCTCCTTTTTTGTCACTCCTCCCCGTCCAAGCCCTTGACGATTTGCTTATACCTCCTAAACTGAATCTCTCTCAGCAGTGCACTTCATTCAGTCCCCACTGCTGCTGGCCTCCAAGTGGAGCCCTCTAGGTGTCTTACCTGGGTCACTGCAGCCACATCTGCAGCTGCTCTCCCTGCCTCAGCCTAGCTTCCCCACCGTTCCCAGTCGCACTCGGAGTCCCTCGTATTCAACCTTAAGTCTTAGCCTGGAAGTTACCTCTTCTGAGAGCCCTTCTCTGAGCCCACCAGTCTGGGTTGGATGTCCTACCTCCTCGTTGTAGCATAGGCAGCACTGTGTTAGAAAACTCCTTTGTATTCACTGCCACTTAATGAATGAAAAAGTCCTAATTAGTATCTGTCTGATTTTGTACTGGAAAATCTCTGCATTGGTATTTAGAAAACCTAGAGTTTAGCCCTGTTTTGTCAGTATTATCCGATCTCTTGGAGCTCCCTTTGCAAATAAGAGAGCATTCCATTAGGGCCATGGGTTTCAGTGTGTGTTGTCATTTTGTTTTTTGCCTTGGAACTCCATTGTTAAGCTCTCTTCTGGAAGCTGAAGTCAATAAAATGTGAAATCTAAGGGAGGGCGTGGTCCAGAGCTCCCTGTCCTTCCCTCTCAGCTTCTGAAGAGTCCTAGAGATGCGGGCAGCACACTTTGAAAACACTGGCCCAGAGGAACTCTAGGATCTCTTCCAGATCCCATAGACTCTTGTGTCTTAAAGTATTTCTTTAAATTAATTTTCTTAAAGAGAGTTTTCTGTTCTGTGCCGTTGTGCGTCTGAAGTTTTAACTAATTTTTAAATTAGGTGAATTTCAAACTTGAAAAGGGAGAAAAACATGAGGAGCATCTGTAATTCTGGGGTGTTTCTCCCTTGCCATCTAATGATTTTTAGACAAATGACTCTGCTAGACCTTTTATAAAGCAAACTCTGTAGCCACTGCCATCTTTCATAGACAAGGGCTTTTGAAATCTACTTGAAAAGAACCGACTAGCACTCTCACTACTCGGCAATGTGTTCTCATATGGAGTGTCTCATACTCTTCAGCCATAGAGTCTTATGGAAACATCATTAGCCTGCTTTGTATGCTTGTCCGTCTGCAGACAAATGGATAATCAGGAGGCTTCACTACAGTTCCTCACATGAACCTAGATATATGAGAAAAGCAGTACTCCACAACTTCACTGTCCAGTATGACAGCCACTAGCTGCAGGTGGCTATTGATCACTTTAAATGTGGTTAGTCTGAATTGAGGTGGACCATAAGTATAAAATCTATACCAGATCTCAAAGACTTAGTACTAAAAGAGTGAAAGATCTAATTAATTTTATATTGATCACCTGTTGAAATAATTTTAGATATATTGGTTTAAATAAAATGTTATTAAAATTAGTTTCACCTTTTTTTGGGTGTTTCTTTTGGCTTCATTGGGTCTTCGTTGCTGCGCGTGGGCTTTCTCTAGTTGCAGCAGGCGGGGGCTACTCTGTTGCAGTGCGTGGGCTTCTCATTGCGGTGGCTTCTCTTGTGGAGCAGGGGCTCTAGGCGCGTGAGCTTCAGTAGTTGTGGCTCATGGGCTCTAGGTGCACAGGCTTCAGTAGTTGCGGCACGCAGGATCAGTGGTGGCTTGCGGACTCAGTGGTGGCTTGCGGGCTCTAGAGCACAGACTCAGTAGTTGTGGCGCACTGCACAGAGGAAAGCTTCAAGTGAGCTTTATTAGGGAGCGCTCCCGGGGGAGGTTCACTGGTCCGAGAGAAAGGGGCCAGAGAAGTCGCACCCGGGCGAGGGTTGGGCAAGATTTTATAGGTGAAGAAGGGAAAGGGGTGTGGTGAATCTGGGAGGGCACAGGGTATTCCTTATTTGGTGGTCTTTTCGGGTATCCTGGGGGACGGTTAGTCCCACCCCTAGAAAGGCGGGAAGGCTGGGCTGGGTTCAAAGTCCCCAGGTCAGTTCCTGGAACTGGGTGGTCCGGAATGTCTCCAGGGCAGTTTCTGGAACTGGGTGGTCTGGAGAATTTCGGTCTGATGCAACCTGTGAATCTGATTGTGTTCCCCTGCCTCGGGCCAGTTGGCCTTACAATATATTTTTAAGCTTCCCGGACCAGGGCTCAAACCCATGTCTCCTGCATTGGCAGGCGGATTCTTAACCACTGCACCACCAGGGAAGTCCCCATTTCCCATTTTATTTAATATTTTTTTCCTAATAAGTACCTGATAGACCACAGTTTTTTAGATATTCAACAAATATTTATTGATTATCAAACCCTATGCCAGGCACTATTCTAGGCCCTAGAGATGCTTCAGCAGATAAAATGGGACAATTGGAGTGGACGTCCTAGAGACCTACCCAATGCTAAGTTGTAAATTACTGGGCTATTACATGGGCTTCAGCCAAGTGCCTTTTATTTATGATGTGTCAAGTTAACCTCTGCCCTGTAAGATATTTTATCTCCTCAAAGGACTTGAGAATTTGCCTTCTTGCTTTCATTATGTTTATTACTTCCTCCCCCAAAAATGATGTGTGTGGTGGGGAGGGAGGGGAGCAGCAACCCGACCCACTGTGTGTTTTCCCTTATTACTTTCTTCCTTAGTCTGCATTCAGCAAGTAATTTTCTCCCACAGGAAACCTAGGCCTGGAAACACTTTCTTAATTGGATGTGACTTTACTGCTGCAATTATAGTGATTTTGGAAGTTAGTTTTAATTAAAATATGAGTCCTTACTCTGAAAGACTAAGTAATTTGATACTTAAATATAGGTACACCCAGATGAGAAATAAATATATCTGAAAAAACGGTTGCTAAGTTTTGAAGAAGTGTTGTTTTAGTGGTTTTAAATTTGTGGAGGCTTGTACTGCACTTCTTCTCTGGTAGCTTTCATTCATTGGTTTTAATGTTTTATCATCAAGGGTCAGCAATTCATGACAAGCATGTCACAGAGCCCTCAGCTAGATGCCACGGCCCTCTTCTCCCTCTCCTGGTACGGCTCTACTTACCTCTCCTGAGAGCCAGATGCATTGTTACACTTCCCTTCAAAGGAATTTACACAGTATACTTTCCTGCCTGGGCATCTATTGACTCCTGTCTCCACATCCAAGGTAGATGCAGAATGGAACCATATACTATCACTATCAGCATTTGGCCAGCTCTCTTTTATCTTTGGTTTTCCTATTCTCTAAAAGAAATCCATACTATTAATTGGTTGATGTATTAAGTTTCCTACACCTGGAACCATTTGTTTTAAAGAATGAGGAATTGCCTCTTTAGCTTTATCTTTAATATATTTTCATTTATCTAAAGAGAAGTTGTTATTTCTTAAGCTACCTTATAACTTACGTGATTCTATCTGAAGGGAAAGTAGAACATCTCGTAAGGCATTTCATCTGAAATGATTTTTCTATCAGTGAATAAGAACTTCAGTTGCTGAATAACTTTTTTTTCTTTTTTGTGGTACGCGGGCCTCTCACTGTTGTGGCCTCTCCCGTTGCGGAGCTCAGGCTCCAGACACGCAGGCTCAGCGCCCACGGCTCACGGGCCCAGCCGCTCCACGGCATGTGGGATCCTCCCGGACCAGGGCACAAACCCGCGTCCCCTGCATCAGCAGGCGGACTCTCAACCACTGTGCCACCAGGGAAGCCCACTGAATAACTTTTAAACATCTTTGTTCTCTACCTGCATTTTTACCCTAATATTGCAATATATTTTTCAGGTTTTCAATTCAAAAACGGCCGAACTACTTAGTCATCATCAAGTGGAAATAAAACAGGAGTTTCCAAGAGAAGGGTATGTTTCCTAATTTAATATGTAAATGTACATCATGTTTATTAGTCCATCTCACCCCACCTGCCCTGTGCTTTTGTAAAGTAAACTTAACCAAACACCGTACTGAGAAGACGTGAGGGATAGGTATTAGTCACAAAAAGAAGCAGTAACTTGGTAGCTCAGCAAAAACATGTGGATGATTGATGGCTTAGGAATTCAGTGACAAAAGGAAGCGATAATAAAGTAATAAAGCAAAGGAGTATTAGATATCAGAAATTCCACGTTGACTTTGAAATCATTTAGTTCTGTGTCTCCATCATTGCCAAACTGCTGCTTTGCAGATTTTCATGTAAGGGTTTTTTCTTTAAATAAAGATACGTTTTTAAAAAACATTCATATATCTTATCATCTAATACTAAAATCATCCTTTCGGGGAGTAATGTTCATATATAGTAATTGTGATATTACTACTTATATATATATATTATATAGTACATATACATATACAGTATTTTATTTAAAATTTGATATTTATAATACAACCACTTTGAAAAACTGTGTGGCAGTTTCTCATAAAATTAATCATACATCTGCAACATTCCACTCTTAGGAATTTATCCAAGAGAAATGAAAGCATATGCCTATAGGAAGACTTATCTACATGAATGTTTATAGTAACTTTGTTCATACTAGCCCAAACTGGAAGCCCCTCAAATGTCTGCCATCAGTAGAACGATAGCAATGAAATACTGTTTGACAGTTTTTCAAAAGTGACCTGATACATGCAATGACATGGCTGAATCTCTTTGATATCCTGGAGAGTGAAAAAAACTGGCCACAAAAGAATACATCCTGCATGGCTCTTATCTGAAATTCAAGAAGAGGCTAAACTAATTAGGATGATGGAAATCCAAAAAGTAGTTGCCTGTGGAGTGTGTGATTGACTTGAAAGAGGCATGAAAGAACTTTTCTGGAGCAATGGAAATATTCTATATCTTGACTGGGGTGTTGGTTAGATTGGTATATACATTTGTTAAAACTCAACAAATTGTGCACTTTCGATCTGTTCATTTCATCATAAAATTTACTTCAATTTAAGAAAGAGAGGGAAAACAGTGTGTTACCAAATTTTCCGTTAAAAATTTTCTCCTATGTTTTAGAGAATTCCTTTGTTTAATAAGAAAAGCTATTAATATGTTAGCAGCATTAGAATGACCATCCACAGGCTTGATCCCAGTGCAGTTTAGAGAGAGAATAGCTAGACTTGGAGGGACAAAAATTAGAAGTATGTGGAAGGCGATTGGGTTTTGGAAAAAGAGAATTTAGAGACAGAACTCAAAGCTCAGGAAAGCCAGGCAGACCTGAAGAAGGCAGACAAGAAAGGCATTTGGAATTCCCTTGCTACTTCCAGATTCTAGCGTAGGATTCTTTTAACTTGTGTCATTTCTACTTTTGCATAGAAAAAGTATGCCATTTGTTTCTCCCAGGTATTCTTCCTTTTCATTTATTATGAGCCATTCATCCTTCTGAGGTCCTTGTACCTTAACCACAATTGCACTGGGATTGGGTCTGAAAACTGGGACCAGTCACTTGTCTACATGAAATAGTTATTGGAAGGAATGTACATTTTTCCCCCAAATTCTAACAAAACATTTTAGGAAATAAAATGACAAAAGAGATTAGTATACTTATTTGACTTCTTAGAATTTGTTTTGCTTCATAAATAAATAAATACACAGATATATAAGTAAGTAAACGAGGAAATCAATGTATCAAAAGAATAATATCTATATCTAGTCTGTTTAAAACTGACTAATGACTAGTGAAACATAAAGATAGTATATCAGAATTCATCACACCCACAGAATATAAAGAATTGGGGAACCAGTTTCTTACTGGATTTGAAAAGTAATTTAAAAATAGGTAGAATATTTGCTATTTGTGGCCTGGTATTACTTACCTCCTTTCAAATAATTAATTACTATATGAAGAATAATAAAAATGTAAAGTAAATAGGCTCTTCTTTAAATCATTTCTTTAGAATATTGGATATGCTTTGCTTATCTGATTTTCTTCGATTTGTGCAGCCACTCCCTCATAAGTGAACATCTCTAGAGAAATAAATTATATGTGTCTTGCTCTCTTGTGGACTAACCAAATACATTCTTTTGTTTGAAGATGGGTGGAGCAGGACCCTAAGGAAATTCTGCATTCTGTCTATGAGTGTATAGAGAAAACGTGTGAGAAACTTGGACAGCTCAATATTGATATTTCCAACATAAAAGGTATTTTTCATATTTTACTCTATGTATGATTATCTCAATTAAATTCATTCATCCAGCACATACTTGAATGCCCATGCAGTGGCAAGCATTTCTTTGAGAACTGAGGATACAACAATAATCAGGAAGATTAGGTCCCTGTTCTCATGAAGCTTTTATTTTGGTGGGAGTGAGACCAACAGTAAGAGTAGATAAGTACCAGCTAATTTCAGATGCAGATAAGTTCCATACAGAAAGTAAAACCCAGTGATATGCTAGAGTGTGCATAGAGAGGCTTCCTTTAGATTGGAAGGCCAGAGAAGTCCTCTCTGAGGAGGTGACACTTTTGCTGCGGTGTCAAAGGCCAAAAGGGGCCAGCCATGCAAATATCTGGGGGGAAAATGTTAGAGGAATAGAAAGCAACAAATGCAAAGGGCCTGAGGTGGGAATAATTTTGGCCCATTCCTGGATCAGAAAGAAGGCCAGCATGTCAAAAATACAGTGGAAGAAGGGTGACAGGTGAGGTTGGGTGGGTAAGGGGTTTCAGAAGGAATTGAAATCTGAGAAGTGGACGGGGCCTTGTCGGCCACAGTTAGGAGTTTGGATGTTATTCTTAGTATCACAGGGAGCCATGAGAAGACTTTAAGCAAGGCCATAGGGGATGACAGGATCTGACTTGCAGTTTAAAAACAACTTCCTGACTGCTGTACGGAACACTGTGGAGAGTGAACAGTAAAGGTGTAAGTGTGGACACAAGGAGACCAGTGTGGAGGCCACCGTGGAAGTCCTGAGAGAGAGGATGATGACTTGATTGACAGTGGTAGCAGTGGAGGTGGGGAGAAAGGGCCAGAACTTGCTGATGGATTGGATGTCAGGGTAGCAGAGAGAGTAGTGGGGTGGGGGAAAGAGATGGGTCACAGATGAGGCTTGGGGTTTTTGCTGGAGCTCCTGGATGGATAGGGATGCCCTTTACTGGGGAGAGAAAGACTAGAATAAGGAACAGCTTAGGGAGGGGGGAGGTTGTTTGAAATCAAAGCACTTCACTTTTGAAATCTCCCTTAAATAATTGTCTGAGAGTGTTAGGTTATTACAAGTATCTCCCTTTAATTCCTAGTAGTTTTAATAGAATATCTACCTGAGTTTGGCTTTGCATCTTTCATGAGGGAGAAAAAAAATAACCCAGTCATCTAAAATTGATATGCTACTAGTGTAAAGGGTGGAAGCATAATGCGGTAATTGCCACCTCCTTAGAGTTTAAATTTTTCAAGTTCACCATTCAAGGGCTACTTTTTTTTTCTTTCTTAGGTAGTTTGACTCTAGATACGGGGAACCATCAGTTGGTGGTGGTGGTTCCTTAATTCATGTCATCTTGGCTCTGAAATTTACCAGCACTCCTGAGTTGAAACATTGATTTTTTTTTCAGGCTTCCCCCTATTTGTATAAATAAAACTCACTTTTAAAAAGGCTGAGTATAATCAAAACCAGTCATTCAGCAAACTCATAGTGCCTACGATGTGCTAGGTGTGCTAGGGAAACAGTGGAGCACAAATAGGGTCGTGCCGCTGTCCAATGGGGGAAACATGTTAATCCAATCACAGATTAATGGAAAAATGTAACAGTGATATTTCTGTTACTGCAGATTTTTACAAGAAATAGCCATGTACGATTTGATATTTTGTTAACAGTTTTTTAATATCCTGCCTTCATTTTATCCCTACATGTAAGTGAAGTACTTCAGACTTCTTTTACAGCTGCATTCACCAAGTTTTAGACGAGTCCTCTGTCAAAGTGATTGTTGGTCAGCTTCCTTGAACTGTCCTCACAGCTTTCATGGTCTAAACAGTGTAAACATGTAAGAGGCATTCAGTAGCACACTCTGTTGTCGAAATATCCATTACCAGTGACGTAAATAATCTAGGTGGCGGAATGCCATGTTCACGATGTAGATTTCAGAGCCATTGGCCATAATTTTGAGCTCATTCTACCTCCCTTTCAGGTAAGGTAGAGGCTGCGGCATGTTGGCCTTCTGGACCCACTCAGGTGGCATTCTTTTTTCTCTTGTTTTTGTGGTGTTCGTGAAGATGACACATAACTCCAGTCCAGGTCACTTGTCTTCCACTTGCACTGTCTGTAAGAATACTGGGCACACAGCTCTCTGCTCTACGCTCCTCTGTGTCTGGCCAGTGTGAAACCCATACCTGAACCAAAGTGACCCAGCACTTCCTTCTCAACAACTACCAGCCTATGGCCAAGGAAGAGAACGTTCCACAAGCCCCTCCATACCAGGCCAGTTGTGTTCAAAAAATTTTTTCCCAGATAATTTATTGAATTGGCACTGTCAAGGGCCAAGCTTTTGCTTGCCTATATAGAGCTCTAGGTCACAGAACCCAAATGCTGTAAAGGATCTTCCATCACTTAGACCTAGCTGCAAATGAGAGAACAGGGACCCTTTGCAGGTCGTGTAGCTATTTAGTGGTGGTATAACATGAAAGCACAACTGCCCTGTCTCCTGGTCCAGTGCTTTCTTTCCTGAGACACACTGATAATAACCTCAAAAACCACTTGAGTTTTTGGTTCCAAAGTGGCAAAGAAATGAGTTTTTTCCAGCTAAAGGGTGATTCATTTATCATCTTACCTGGTAATCATTGAGTTCATCATAGCTGGTTGTATTTCTTTGGCAAACTCCAGTTTCATTGGTTTTAGTTGTCCTCATCTGCCAAAGTTTGTTGATTTCAGGTCCCTATAAACAATGTCTCCAAAATTAAAGTTCACTTTCCAGTTTAACAGCTCACTTGAGCCCAAGAGAAGTAAATAGGCTGCTTCTTTCCACCTTGGCTTAGAGAGCTGGGCCGCTCTGTTTGCCTGTCACTGGACTGAAGGAAATACAAACTATGAAGAGTTACAATACCACCTAGTCTCATTCATCCTCCCTCATGAGATACAAGCAAAATACAACATACACTGTTACAAAGTTGAGAACATCAAGTCCTCAGCGATTAGGTTAGATGGTACTTCTCACACCCTTAGAGGACAGGGAAGCCCGCACACCCACTGCCTCGCCCTAGCCAACACATCCACCCACCTTTCCTTCACCTCTGAGACTCGGCCTCTCAGAAGGGCACTCTTTGTCCTAAAGGGCTTCCCAGCAATGGCCACATCTCCCTTGCAAGTGGTATAACTTGCCACAAGCACACGTCTGCCAGACATGGAAGCTTTCTACCTCTTCCCAACGGCGCTTTTAGTAGTCCCAGAGCCTTCCTCTGGGGCTCATATTGTTTTGCTATGTGCGTTTATTGGGTTGTTGTTGTTGTTTTCTCCAGAAATGTGTTCCAATTAGAAATTATAATTTTATTTTTAAATAAGGGTGCATGTCATCTATAATTCCACCAAGACAACAATGATAACATTCTGGAGTATTTCCAAAGGCTTTTTTCGAAGTAAATTTTCTTAACTGCGATTATAACTTTTCACAGGCAATATTAAGCAAAATTTAACCAGATTTTGAATATAGCATTTAGCTAGTTAATTGTACTAGTGACACTCAGTTTTGAGAAAAAAAAAAATCCCCTGAAAAAGAATATATGGATGAAGCATGGACCTACTAGATACGAGAGTAATGTGTTAGGTTTTATGTTGTCCAGTGATTTTAGTATCTCTAGCTAAAAGACTTGCACGTCACATTCATTTGCTCTTATGGTAGGTGAACTAGGGTGGAGGATTATAAAACCTAAACATGTTATTCTGAAAAAGAAGGAGTTAAAATTAGGAACTATTAAGAGAAGCACATGTGCTGGGATTAGCAGTCAGAAAAGTTTTCTTAAGAAACATAGAAAAGCATAGAGTATTTTAGGGTAAAAATGCCAAGAAATTAGCACAATTAGAAGTTCAGAAGTTCAGAGGCAATGCATAAGGCCTGTGTCGGGAGAAACCGGTACTAGACTTGTTTGTGGCTGGAAGAGAATCCTGAGAAGCTGCTTCACTGGACTTTGATTGTTTGCAAGAAAAGCAATTTTGCTTGGCATGAAGGAACCAAATTAAGATAGAGGGGAAAGAAGAAGTGGTTAGAGTGAAACCCGTGACTAATGAATCAGATCGAAATAGCTCTAGATAATGTTCTGAATACCAGTTAGAATGAGCCAATAAAGAAAGGTAGCGTGAAGGGCATAGAATAGAAGCTCCAGGCTTGGGACTTCCCTGGTGGCACAGCGGTTAAGAATCCACCTGCCAATGCAGGGGACACGGGTTCGAGCCCTGGTCTGGGAAGATCCCACATGCCGCGGAGCAACTAAGCCTGCGAGCCACAACTACTGAGCCCACATGCCACAACTACTGAAGCCCGTGTGCCTAGAGCCCGGGCTCCGCAACAAGAGAAGCCACCGCAATGAGAAGCCCGCACACTGCAACGAAGAGTAACCCCCACTCGCCGCAGCTAGAGAAAGCCTGCGGGCAGCAGCGAAGACCCAACGCAGCCAAAAATAAATAAATAAATTTATATAAAAAAAAGAAACTCCAGGATTGCAACTAAGGAAGCAGCCAGCTAGTTAATGGGAAATTAATGCAGTGGGGAAGAACAGGAGAGTTTAGTAGACCATGAATTCATTGTGAGCCCTCATCGTAAAGTTGTCACATATCACGTTCACAATACTCCACCTTAACAACCATTGCCAAGGTCCTGCCAAGGTCTCTGGCCTCTGCTGTGCCCACAGTGCTGCTGCGGAATTCCTTTACGTGTCCCACTTAGCTGAGTCCCATTCTTTGCAACTGGTACTCCAGTCTATGTGTAACAATGATGACAATGAATGGCTGCAATAAGTGACATTTATGGAGTGGTTACTATGTCCCAGGCACTGTTTTAATATGCATTAACTTAGGTTTTCCTTTTTGTAACCCTGTAAGATGGGAACTTTTATCATCTCCAATTTACAGAAGATAAAACTGAGACCCAGGATCATGCTGCTAGGAAGCAGAAGAGTTGGAATTTGAAACCCAGCAGTCTGGCTTCAGAGCCTGAGCTCTGTTGAATAGCACCCAAGCTTCACAGTCCCTGTTTTCACAGATAACCTTGCGCTCTACTACACAGAGAAAGTTGAGGCTCTGGGGTCTAAATTTCTCAACTTCCTGTCCCAGTACTTAATGTCTGGATCTCTTGCCCCCTTCCCTCCATCACAAGGGAAGCAATAGCCTTCCGCCCTACTGAGGCTCCTCCCTCCACCTGTGTATTAATCCCATCCCCTCCTGTCACTACAACAATCAGGACCGTGTCCCATTCATTTCCAGACCCCTTACCCCCCACATTCTCCTTTCTCTTCTTTTATTCCTACAGACCTTTTGGCCTTCTATTTTTTAAAAAACACCCTCAAATCTCTTCCTTTTACCCTATGCCTCTAGGTTTCCTGGTAGTAGAATCTCATTCATCTTTATACCTCTAGAAAAGGTGTTAAATAAAGTAAGTATATTTGCATTGAATAAAGATTATTTAGAACAAGGGAGCTGCTGGTCCCCTTCAGCTCTCTGTTGGTCAGAACATTCCTAGTATGTCTTATTCTGGGTGTACAGCTTGAGTAATTTGGACAGTTAGTTGCATGTTCCTAGGAGAGGTGGTGAAGGGACTTTAAACCATGCCCTATGGAGGTGGGGCAGTGGAAGGAAATTGGGCTCTTTAGCCTAGACAGGGGAAGAGAAGCCTGGAGGGACAGAATAGCTGCTTCAGGTGTGAAAGACTGACATGTGGAAGAAGGATTCACCTTATTCTTTGTATCTCCAAAGAATGTAGCAAAGATCTATAGGTGGAAGCGATGAGGAAACGAATTCTTTTTAAATAGCAAAGCTGTACAGTAGAGATTTGTTTGCCTGGAGAGAGGTAGTGAGTATCTTGTCACTAGAAGTGCTGTCTGAATGGTCACGTAACAGGCAATTCCAGAGATCTGAGCATAAGGTGGGTTGATTATATAGCCTTTAAGGTCTGTCCTAATCTTAAATTGTGGAAAAGCTCCATCCTTTAGCCCAGTGTGTGCAGCTCTGCACAGGAGAATCACCTGGAGAGTATTAAGAAAAAATACCAATGCTCAGATGCTACCCCAGGTTAGTTAAATCAGAAGATTTGGGTCAGGGCCTGGGCACCGGTATTTTTTCAAAGCTCTGCAGTTGATTCTAATGTACAACCAAGTCTGAGAACCTCCAATTTAGCTGAATCAAGCCAAATTGAGTAAGATGGTATGGAATAGTATTTTACTTATAGTAACTTACTGTAACTATAGCCCTTGAGTTGTATATAGGTTAGTATAATGTAATTGCCATCACATACTGTACTTATGCCTGATTCAAACTCTATGTCTTTTGTTTGTTTGTTTTTTTGGTTGCGCTGGGTCTTAGTTGCGGCTCACGGGCTCCTTAGTTGTGGCTCGCCAGCTCCTTAGTTGTGGCACATGGGCTCCATAGTTGTGGCATGCGAACTCTTAGTTGTGGCATGCATGTGGGATCTAGTTCCCTGACCAGGGATCGAACCCAGATCCCCAGCATTGGGAGCGTGGAGTCTTAGCCACTCTGCCACCAGGGGAGTCCCTCAAACTCTATGTCTTGTAACATATTATTAAAATACATGAAGAAAACTGAATTTCTAACTAAGCATAATATGAGTTTGCCCAGCATGAAGGATTTTATCTGTGACTATTTTCTCAAAATACAGGCATGTGTGCACACACACACACAGAGGGAAATTTCTTGTGGCAGTTAGTAAATAAACGAATGAGGTTATGGTTGGTCTCCTCAGCATGATAAATTGGATATCGTAAATTTGGGAAGTTATTGCATTCCCTATTTATAAGGCAACCTGCGAGTCTTTTATTTGGCTGTTGATCTGGGTCCATGTTATGGTGTGCTGGTAGTGAAGCAGGAAGAAGTCTGTAGAAAGAAAAAGAAGTAGTTGACATTGGTGGTTCGCTTTTCCTGGGCCAGTCAAAGAAAATCAATTCAATACCACCACAGACGTTCCAAATGTTTTTCTTCAAATTTTTATGTTTAGTTGTGCCTGTAAAAAAAAAAAAAAAAAAAAAAAAAAAAAAAAAAAAAAAAAAAAAAAAAAAAAAAAAAAAAAAAAAAAAAAAAGTGAGAACTATCCTCAGATTTCTGCTTGTTTTTTTAATCCTTTCTGTTTAACTTTCTCTTTAAAGCTATTGGTGTCAGTAACCAGAGGGAAACCACCGTAGTCTGGGACAAGTTAACTGGAGAGCCTCTCTACAATGCTGTGGGTAAGCTCTTGTGCATGGATGTCAAACTCACGGCCTTTCTCCACTTGCAGGAGTTGTCATACTAAAACATCTGGCTAACAAAGCATGTAGTCATGTTCCCTATAATCTCATGGGTTGGGCTGAAGAGTCCTCTAAGAAATGAGTTGTTACATATTTACCATTTTCAGATAGTTATTCCCAATTTGAATTAACTCGTTCCTATGCTTGCCCCTTCCTGATAATTTGCATTATACAAATGAGTCATTGTTGCCAGAACTTTTTATAATCCCTGCTGTTTCTGACACCTGAAAGGGATCTCACCTCCTCCTCCCCTCAGAAATCAAGATTACAGATGTCCCCATTCCCTTCTCTACCTTTCCATAAAGTACCTGTATACTTGTTCTTCCCATCTAGAAATTTGAATTGACTCTGTTGAGCTTATGAAAATAAAGTGTCAAAATTTTAGCTCCTTCTGCTACAAACTTGGCGATTTCAGCAGGGGTTCAAAAGCTCAATCTCAAATATACCACCATTAGATATCACATCTTATTAAATGTAAATAACCATGGGTATATTTTAGCCTCACTCTTAGTAGCACATGACAGTTGAGCACTGAATGACACTGTCAGTTGCTAAAAGGAAAGTTTTGTTCTAAATATACAGTCGCTAAAAGGCGTTATTCTGTCACAAATAGCAAAGCACAATTTTTTAGTCAATAAAGTAACAGGTTGTGGGTTGGACAGTGGAGGCAGAAGTTGTCAGAGATGGGATAATTTATAGAGTGAGCTCTTTTTACTTTACAGTTACTTTAGTAATATATTTAGTTACTTTAGTATTGATTGGAAAAAAGTGATATTCAAGCAGAAAATATACTAACAACGTGCCTTGTAAGAGTAGTGTGAATTCCTTTGGAAATAATCTTTATAAAAAAGGAAGGTCTTTAATGTTATTGTGTTATAAGAAAGCATTTAGTATGTCTTCTGTATCTGTGATAAAAAATTCAAGATGCAAAAAAGGTCAAAGAATTGCAACCAAAGGTTCTCTTACACAAAAGTACCTCTTTTAAAGCTTTATTTTGTTCTCATTCTCATGAGCAGCCCATTTTGAATATAAGCAGGATATTACAATTTTAATGGCTAGTATCTAGGAGAGTATTCTTTCACAGACCAATGTTAGCCAACTTCTTATACTAGTTAAGGTTTTACTTTTTGTTTTCTCCCTTGTGAAAGGAAGGGCCTACTCACAGGAACCAGAAAATTCCTGTTAAACTCTAAACTTGGAATTGTAAAAATGCAGCTTTGGACTTTGAGTTGTCATTTTAAAATAATGCAACTAGGTTAGTTGAAGTTATGCATAAGTGAAGGATTTCAGTAAATATTTCACTAGAAAAACTTTTTGAGATGTGCTTATTTACTCATTCCTTTTTCTTCTACACTTTTTAGTTTTCTATTTAAAAATATCAGGCATTCAAAACAGAATGACTGAAAACCAAAAGAAACAACTGACATTAGAAGCAGACCAATAAGAAATCCTGATATTAGAGTTATCAGACTTTAAAATAACCATCATCTACATGTTCAAGGAATTCATTGAGATGAGTGATAATCTTAGCAAAGAAATGGAAATTTAAAGATCGAAATTCTAGGACTGTATTAAACTCATTTGATGAGTTTTACATGGTATTAGACACAGCTGAGTTAGTGAACTGGAAGGGAGATCAGAGTAAATATCTAGACTGAAGCACAGAGAGACAAAGGTTTAAAAAATACAGAAAAGAATCTAAGAGAAATATGGGGTAAGGTAAGAAGGCCCAACATATTTGTAATTGGAGACCCAAAAGAAAAGGAAAGAGAGATAGATGATAAAAGTTTTTCAAAACTGTTGAAAGATATCACACCACAAATTCAAGAAGTGCTATGATTCCCCAGGCAAGATAAATACACATAAAGCCGTATACAAACATATGCTGAGACCTGAAGATAAAAAGAAGGATTTTAAAGTAGCCAGAGGATATGACCTTCAAGAGACCAACACTAAAACTTTCAGCTGATTTCTCAAAGAAGCAGAGTACAATGGAATGAAATCTTTAAAGTGCTAAAAGACAATAACGTGAACCTAGAATTCTGTATTTAGTGAAAATATCCTTAAGAAATGAAGGTGAAATATAAAGGCAAAGACAAACAGAGACTTATAGGAATAATTACAAGCAAACCCCAACTAAAAGAAAAACTAAATAATGTTTCTCTGGAGATACGAAGGGAAGATGGCAGAAGAGTAAGACGCGGAGATCAACTTCTTCCCCACAGATACACCAGAAATACATCTACACGTGGAACAACTCCTACAGAACACCTACTGAGCTCTGGCAGAAGACCTCAGACCTCCCAAAAGGCAAGAAAGTCCCCACGTACCTGGGTAGGGCAAAAGAAAAAAGAATAAACAGAGACAAAAGGATAGGGACGGGACCTGCACCAGTGGGAGGGAGCTGTGAAGGAGGCAAGGTTTCCACACACTGAGAAGCCCCTTCACGGGCGGAGACTGCAAAAAAAAAAAAAAAAAAAAAAAAAAAAAGTGAGAACTATCCTCAGATTTCTGCTTGTTTTTTTAATCCTTTCTGTTTAACTTTCTCTTTAAAGCTATTGGTGTCAGTAACCAGAGGGAAACCACCGTAGTCTGGGACAAGTTAACTGGAGAGCCTCTCTACAATGCTGTGGGTAAGCTCTTGTGCATGGATGTCAAACTCACGGCCTTTCTCCACTTGCAGGAGTTGTCATACTAAAACATCTGGCTAACAAAGCATGTAGTCATGTTCCCTATAATCTCATGGGTTGGGCTGAAGAGTCCTCTAAGAAATGAGTTGTTACATATTTACCATTTTCAGATAGTTATTCCCAATTTGAATTAACTCGTTCCTATGCTTGCCCCTTCCTGATAATTTGCATTATACAAATGAGTCATTGTTGCCAGAACTTTTTATAATCCCTGCTGTTTCTGACACCTGAAAGGGATCTCACCTCCTCCTCCCCTCAGAAATCAAGATTACAGATGTCCCCATTCCCTTCTCTACCTTTCCATAAAGTACCTGTATACTTGTTCTTCCCATCTAGAAATTTGAATTGACTCTGTTGAGCTTATGAAAATAAAGTGTCAAAATTTTAGCTCCTTCTGCTACAAACTTGGCGATTTCAGCAGGGGTTCAAAAGCTCAATCTCAAATATACCACCATTAGATATCACATCTTATTAAATGTAAATAACCATGGGTATATTTTAGCCTCACTCTTAGTAGCACATGACAGTTGAGCACTGAATGACACTGTCAGTTGCTAAAAGGAAAGTTTTGTTCTAAATATACAGTCGCTAAAAGGCGTTATTCTGTCACAAATAGCAAAGCACAATTTTTTAGTCAATAAAGTAACAGGTTGTGGGTTGGACAGTGGAGGCAGAAGTTGTCAGAGATGGGATAATTTATAGAGTGAGCTCTTTTTACTTTACAGTTACTTTAGTAATATATTTAGTTACTTTAGTATTGATTGGAAAAAAGTGATATTCAAGCAGAAAATATACTAACAACGTGCCTTGTAAGAGTAGTGTGAATTCCTTTGGAAATAATCTTTATAAAAAAGGAAGGTCTTTAATGTTATTGTGTTATAAGAAAGCATTTAGTATGTCTTCTGTATCTGTGATAAAAAATTCAAGATGCAAAAAAGGTCAAAGAATTGCAACCAAAGGTTCTCTTACACAAAAGTACCTCTTTTAAAGCTTTATTTTGTTCTCATTCTCATGAGCAGCCCATTTTGAATATAAGCAGGATATTACAATTTTAATGGCTAGTATCTAGGAGAGTATTCTTTCACAGACCAATGTTAGCCAACTTCTTATACTAGTTAAGGTTTTACTTTTTGTTTTCTCCCTTGTGAAAGGAAGGGCCTACTCACAGGAACCAGAAAATTCCTGTTAAACTCTAAACTTGGAATTGTAAAAATGCAGCTTTGGACTTTGAGTTGTCATTTTAAAATAATGCAACTAGGTTAGTTGAAGTTATGCATAAGTGAAGGATTTCAGTAAATATTTCACTAGAAAAACTTTTTGAGATGTGCTTATTTACTCATTCCTTTTTCTTCTACACTTTTTAGTTTTCTATTTAAAAATATCAGGCATTCAAAACAGAATGACTGAAAACCAAAAGAAACAACTGACATTAGAAGCAGACCAATAAGAAATCCTGATATTAGAGTTATCAGACTTTAAAATAACCATCATCTACATGTTCAAGGAATTCATTGAGATGAGTGATAATCTTAGCAAAGAAATGGAAATTTAAAGATCGAAATTCTAGGACTGTATTAAACTCATTTGATGAGTTTTACATGGTATTAGACACAGCTGAGTTAGTGAACTGGAAGGGAGATCAGAGTAAATATCTAGACTGAAGCACAGAGAGACAAAGGTTTAAAAAATACAGAAAAGAATCTAAGAGAAATATGGGGTAAGGTAAGAAGGCCCAACATATTTGTAATTGGAGACCCAAAAGAAAAGGAAAGAGAGATAGATGATAAAAGTTTTTCAAAACTGTTGAAAGATATCACACCACAAATTCAAGAAGTGCTATGATTCCCCAGGCAAGATAAATACACATAAAGCCGTATACAAACATATGCTGAGACCTGAAGATAAAAAGAAGGATTTTAAAGTAGCCAGAGGATATGACCTTCAAGAGACCAACACTAAAACTTTCAGCTGATTTCTCAAAGAAGCAGAGTACAATGGAATGAAATCTTTAAAGTGCTAAAAGACAATAACGTGAACCTAGAATTCTGTATTTAGTGAAAATATCCTTAAGAAATGAAGGTGAAATATAAAGGCAAAGACAAACAGAGACTTATAGGAATAATTACAAGCAAACCCCAACTAAAAGAAAAACTAAATAATGTTTCTCTGGAGATACGAAGGGAAGATGGCAGAAGAGTAAGACGCGGAGATCAACTTCTTCCCCACAGATACACCAGAAATACATCTACA